GAATTCCCCGAACCACAGTATTGGCTAGGGAATTCCCCGAACCACAGCATTGACTGGGGAATTCCCCGAACCACAGCATTGGCTAGGGAATTCCCGAGCTCCTGCGTAGACTGTGGGGTTCCCCAAGCCACAGCGAAGAATGGTGGATTCGCCAAGCCTCAGTATCGACTGGGGGATTCTCCAAGCCTATAGACTATGGGATTCCCGAAATCACAGCGTAGACCTGAGGATTCCCAGTGCCCTCCAAAGCAGCAACAGACGACAGGCAGCCAAGTTAATTTGTCAAAACGATAAAACGGATGTTTAATCGATAAAAATGGTCCCGCAACATAGAAGGAAGAAGAAGGCATAGAAAACCAAACGAATTCCTCCATTCCTCTATCGTTTTCTGAGCTCCTCGTCTCGAGTTACAAGAACCTTCTGTCTGATCATTCATAGAAATGATTGAATATCAATGATAGACAACAACGTGGCAAGGTGAGATGCTCTATGAAGCCTGTAAATAATGCGGAACGCGTCACGTGTTTGAATCACTATGTAAAGAAGTGAAGGAACGATGATCAGTTAATATTCTGATCTAAGGTGTACAGTTTTAGAGACCGGGCCCGGAATTAAGGCCCTGGGATGCATATTTTCCTGGAATAGCGTAGTTCCCTTTGTAATTATACGAAATATATGTAGAGACTACCTTCAGGAATCGCTGCGAACACATATCTCGATCAGGAATCATTCTGTCTGGGTTAGGTCTCGGTCGGGCCTTAGAGATTGGTCAGAAACGAAATCGGAGTAGCCCTCGTGGGAATCAGTGGCTAGAAGTTTCAAGGTCTTTCGTTTTCATTCATCTTCTTCTTTTTGTATTCTTCATGGGAAGTTGAGTTGCGAAGAAAATAGTAGAAACGTAGGGTCTGCGGTTAGGGGTGTCGTCTTCTTTCCTTCAAGTAGAATTCCATGGTCTTCAAGTATCGAATAATTCGTATTCCGGAATTTCATTTCGACATTTGAACTTGATTCCAACCTTCTGCGTTAGTATTCTCCAATGGCATCTTCCAGTCTCGGCAGATGTCCAGGGTCGAAGGCGATCGTTGCGATAGGGCCCACGGAGTCTCGAACCGAGTCGAACGGATCCGTTGATCAACGTCTTTGCTTGGTCGTTCTTAACCTTCGTCGAGCAGGGGCGTAATTAGGTCGTAGGTTTTACCCTAAAGCTTTCATCGTCCTACATATCATAGAGAAAGAAGAGATCCTTCTGTTTCCACAGAGTGACGGGCCTACAAAGGAAATTAGGATTCGGTATATCTTCTAAGGAAAGGAAAAAAGGGAAACTCGAAACGACGAAACGATGAAATAAGAGGGCCTCTAGTTATTGATAGGGAAGCCACGTTTCGAAGCAAACGAGAAACTCGCTTTTTAGGATTAGTCGCAGCTTCGACCTAGCCCCCCGAAAAAAAGTGAAATCAGAACGCACTGGACGGTGCGCATCTCGAAGGGTTCTTTCCTTTTTCTAGATTATCATCGGTACTCGACTAATCTCAAATCCATTCTTTCTGTTTTCATGGAGGAGAAGTCTTCTAGAGACATCCATGACCCTCTGGGGAAGGTTAGGAGATCGTATGGGGATTCCCCAGCACTGTGGTGCAAGCTGAAGGCTCGTGTGGATTCCCCTCATTGCGGCTCAGAGCGAGAACAGTGGGAAATTCTCCGTACCACAGCGCAACCGGAGTTTGTGGGGGTTCTCCTCGATGCGGTAGAGACCAAGGATAATCTGGAGTTCCACAAACTACAGCATATAGTGAGGGACTCCCCAAGTATTGAGTAGGGAATTCCCTAAGCCACGGTATTGGCTAGGGAATTTCACGAGGTACTGCGTAGACTGTGAGACTGCCCAAGTCACAGCGTAGATTGTCAGACTTCTCAAGCCACACCATTGACTGGGGAATTTCCCTAAGCCACCGTATTGACTAGGGAATTTCCCTAAGCCACCGTATTGACTAGGGAATTTCCCGAACTGCCGGGTAGTCAGTGGGATTCCCCAAACCACAGCGTAGATTGTCAGATTTCCCAAGACACCGCATTGATTAGGGAAATCCCCGAACCACCGTATTGACTAGGGAATTCCCGAAGTCACGGTATTAGCTAGGGAATTCCTCGAACCACCGCACTGTCTAGGGAATTCCCGAAGTCGCGGCATTGTCTAGGGAATTCCCGAAGTCACGGTATTGTCTAGGGAATTCCCGAATCACCGCATCGTCTAAGAAATTCTCGAAGTCACGGTATTGTATAGGGAATTCCCGAAGTCGCGGTATTAGCTAGGGAATTCCC